TGTGGTTGTTTTCCATCACTTCAAAGGAAGATTTGTTTCAGCTCTATGGAATGTTTTCCCCTTCTCTGACTCTGTGTGCAGCCAGAACGTGGTTCCATGGAGGTATTTTAACCTTGGTGCTTGATTGCTGCAAATCAAATCAATTTTATTATTCCTGGGGGCTGACAGCTTCATCTGGCTGAGGCCAAGTGATTTGGTGACCTCGGACCTGTTTCTCTTCATCCACTTGTCAATCAATTGATTCTGTTGCTGCTCTGCCCAGAAAGGTGCCCCGTGGTGGAAGGAAAAGTGGAGCAGCAGAGCTGCAGTGAGCAGAGATTGGAAAAGTCTCCATCCTGCCTCTGAAGAGTATGAATCTCTCCCACGGGAATATCTAAATACTCGATATTTTGTCACGTGTTTTTGCCACGTGAAAACATCTCTGTGATGGGGTCATGGCTTGGCCAGTGCCACAGACCCTTTTCAGGGAATTTGTCAGCTGAAGCCCTCTAAGCAGAGCCATTCCCAAGTTCTGAACCTCCTAAAAGGCTCCTTTGGCTGTGCAGTTCAAAGAGAAAATTAAATAGGTGATGTGGAAGGAAAGGAGATGATCATTATAGACAAAAACACAGATTTGTGTGGTTTTCATTGAACATTTCCTGGTGGGTGTTGCTACCTAATCAGAGCATAATGTGCTTTGTGTTGTTTTATATATTTTTACAATGCTTTAATTTTAGTGAACTACAGTTTAGATTTCTTGCCAATGTTTTGCTAGCATGGCATGAACTCAGTTAAAAGAAAATCTTTCTTGAAAGAGTTTCCAATCTAATTTAGGTTTCAGATATCTTCACTTTAAAATATTTAGTCGGCGTATATTCACTAGGGAAAGAGAGTTTGATTTTAATTTTCATGATGATTGAATTATGGAATTAAAAATTGATTGAACAAGCTATTTTGTTTTAATGGATGAAGAATCATATTATAAGTTGGCAGTTTATTTTGCAGTTTATATTTTTGGTGCCCTCCCATGTAACACAGGCTCACGTATTACTCATCCCTCCCTTCTTCTCCTGCAAAGTGATTTGGATTTCTAAAAATCTTTTTAATTTCAATACCCTGAGGTGTTTGAATAGAAGAGTCTCAAAGAAAAACCTATTTTGACGCAGGAAGTTTTCTTGATATTTTGGATAACATTTACTTTTACTTTCCAACGCCGAAGCAGCTTTCAAGCTGATGCCTGTTATGGCAAAGAATTTTGTGTTTTGTATAATAGTACAAGTCCCAAATGGGGGCAATTATTGAAGTTAACACTTTTTGCCCAACTGTGGGAGTACCAGCATCTTTGAGAGATCCCGATTTTGGTTCTTATTTATGCTTGACATTTAATGTGCTTGACATTCTGATTATTTTACACCTACCTAATTTCTTCTAGCTCAAGGGATAATGACAATATTTTAAGCATCTGTGAAGTGTAGCTGCATGTTACTGAGCAGGTGCAACACTACAAACGGAAGGAAAAAGGCCCTAAACTATCTCTGGAATCATTATTTTTTGTGTTGCATATCTCAGGGTCAGTTAGATTGGTTATCAGTTTGGTTGCCAATATCAACCTTACTAATATTTAATGTCCTTTTATTTACCTATTTATCTATTTGTGTGTAAATAGATGTATATAAATGAGACTCAGACACAATGCTGGACTGTGGGCTTACATTGTGTCCTTTGTGATCTAGGGGTGAGGCATTATAGGGAGAGATTTCTGAGTAGTTACTGGGAACTTACATTTTTCCTAAATTTTAAATTAAAATGGTGCTGTAAAATAACAAACTCAATATAAAATTCAGCCCATTAAGCTGAGCTCATATGTCTATGGCACATATTTACTGCTGGCATAGTAGAACTTAGAAACAGCTGACCTGTGTCTTGGTTTACAGATAACTGGGATATAACATGAGAAATAAATGGAAAAAAATTATCCAGTTAAGTATACTCTCTGTGAAGTCTTTGCTCTCCCTTTGGGACATAATTTTATTAGTCAGCTTCTTGAGTTGTATTCCCATTTAATATGCAGTTCCCTACGGTCACATCAGGTTTTAGGCTCTTTTTAAAAGGTTCAAACGGGTATCAGGGAAAGAGGAAGAAGGAGGAAAACAGTGGGAAAACCAGGCTCTTCAGAGAAGTGCAGCTGGTGGCCACAACTTCCTTTTGTTTCCTTTACTGGGAATCTTGTGCTGCTTTGGACTATCGTAGTTGTGGGTAAATTGACTACATGAAGAACGGGGAAGAAAAGTTAAAATACTTGATTTTACAGACCCATGTGGGGACATTTTAAATACTTCCCCAAGTCCTCACAAAACAGTCGCCATGGCCCAGCAAGGGGTCCTTGAAGCAGCACTGACTGAATGGGTTATAGGAATAATTTTTGAAATTCCTTTATTTTGCAATCTTGCCACCTGCTGGTATACTCTGATAATATGAAATTTGGTTAGAAACGTGTTCCAAGAGTCATATTTTCTTTGGTAGGCAAGATCTTAAGGCTGGATGATAAGCAGGTTCTTATTTCCAGCTTGCAGGTGCAGTGTGTTCTTCCTTGGCTGTGTCAGTGCCCCGTGTCAGTGCAGTGCAGGCTGTGCATCCCTTTGCACTAAACATAATGGAATCATATCCTAGAATCATGAGTTGGAAGGGACACTAAAGATTGTCTCGTTCCAACCCCCTGCTGTGGGCAGGGACACCTTCCACTAGCCCAGGTTGCTCCAAGCCCTGTCCAACCTGGCCTTGGACACTTCCAGGGATGGGGCAGCCACAGCTTCTCTGGGCAACCTGTGCCAGGGCCTCCCCACCCTCACAGGGAAGGATTTCTTACTGATATCTAATCTAATCCTACTCTCTGTCAGTTTGAAGCCATTTCCCCTTGTCCTGTCCCTCCAGGCCCTTGTAAATAGTCCCTCTCCATCTTTCTTGTAGGTTCCTTTGGGTACTGGAAGGCCACAATTAGGTCATCTTGAAGCTTTTCTTTTCCAGGCTGAACAATGCCAATTCTCTCAACCTCTCCTCATAGGAAAGGTGCTCAACTCCTCTAATCATCTCCATGACCCTCCTCTGGACTTGCTCCAACAGGTCCACGTCCTTCCCATGCTCGGAACCCCAGAGCTGGAGGCAGCTCTGCAGGTGGGGTCTCACCTGAGCAGGGCAGAGGGGCAGAATCCTCTCCCTCCCCTGCTGCCCAAGCTGTGGGATCAGCCCAGGGCATGGGAAGTTTCTGGATGCTGGGTCATGTCCAACCTCTCACCAACCAGCACCTCTAAGTCCTTCTCCCCAGGGCTGCTCTCAATCCCTTCGTCTCTCTGCTGCCACTGATTTCTACAGACATGAGGGAGGAGAAAGTCTAGAGATATTGTGTGGTCCTGGAACACTGCATTGTGGCACATTAATCTTCAAAATATATTTGAAATGTAGTTTACAAAGGAATGACGTCCATGTCCTAAAATTCCCTGATAAAATTAGGCAAACTCAATTGACCTAAGTTATGGTAAGAATATTTAAGGGATGCTGTTATCCCTAAAACAAGTACTGTAAATCCAAGCAATATGGAACTTAAATGTTTAAACTTTCATTTGGGCACAAGGTGGAGACTGAATCAAGTCCATGACGTGCAAAACCTGTCATTGCTGAAACTTTAGTGGCAGGAGCATGGGGAAGCTCACTCCTTTATGTTAATCTGAGATGAAGCAGATGTGGTCTTACTGGTGTCTGCAGGGAAATCCTCATCTATAATAAAAGCTGTTTTCACATAGTGTTCAAAGGGCATTAAACAATCCAGTTTTTGCAAGCTGAATCCAAAGATGATTTACTGAGGGGTGTGATGAATTGCTCGTTAGCTGGAACTCACGAGTCAGAAGTGGGTGTTTTCTTTACCCAGAGTGTCCCCTCCGGCTCTGCCATATGCTGTTGTTTGACACAAGAGTAACTGAATAGATTTCTGCCACTTGGGTCAAAAATGGCATTGTACTGGAGCACAGTGGTTCCCTTTTAAAACAAAAACATCAAGAATTTATTTCCTTTTATTTCTCCTTATGGTACAGTGTTGGTGTGTTCCCACACGGAACACTTGCACCCAGTCCAAGGAGGACTCTTCCTTGCAGCACTGCTGCCTGTCGTTTCAGTACACCCACTCGAGCCTCTCTTATGAAACCAGTCAGAGTGGCATTTATTCATGGTGGCATCAGTATGGTGACCTTAAGACCTCTCAATTATTCACTTGCAAGTTTTTATGGCATGCAAGGAAAACCAGTGGAATCTCTCCCCTCTCCCACCCTCCCTCTCTCTGCCTTTCCCTCTCGCACGGACACAGAACACGCACAGACCCACACAACCCTGGCCAGCTGCACTGCTCTCCCTCTGCCCTCTCTGAAATGAGCCAGAGGAGCAGTTACTGAAGCCACCATGATGAGCACTTCCCATTTTGGTTCCTGCTGCCTTCTCCTTCTTGGCTGTTTTCGGCCTCAGACTTCTCCTTCCCAGTTTCCACCTCCCTCTCCTGCTTCGTGTTCTGTGTTTGTCCTGTTAGTACTGAATATTTCTAATGCTGAGTAGCTGTTCTGGAGCAGCTTGAAGTCCTGAAGCTCTAGAGTTATGTTCTTCTAGCTATTTTTAAAGATGGTGGGAATTATGACCAGTTGTAAGTCTCCAAAGGACTGTGTGCATAAAAAGTACCATTTATTTACATAAAGGAGAGGCCAGAGGGGCTACAGCTCTGATAAATGGATGAGAACGAGAGATTATTGGGACTGAAGCCCATGGTTTCCAACTTTTAATTCACATCTTTAGTCACAGAGTTAGAACTTTTTAATCACATTATTTTACTGCAAAAATGTCCATAACTATTTATGACACTGGATGTTCGCTCTTGGATCCGTTTCTCCTGTGGGGCATCCTTCAGATCAATCCTTGTTTGTTCTATTAATTTGCTTAATTCTCTGGGGTTTGTCAAGTCTAATTATCTTCTTTCTTTCTTCCAGTTTAGAAATCAAGATTGATTAACCAACACGAAAAGCCCCAGCTGGTTATGTGACTTGGAACCCTGTTTATGAAGCGCTCATTCGTTTTCACAAGACGACAGCACTGTAAGTTGTTTTTATCTTTTTTCTCCCCCAAATTAAAAATCTGTTGTTTTGTCTCAATAGAAATTCTAGACAATTCCCAAGGAATTCAACTCTTATTGGTAAATACACTTAATTTGTGGCTTAGTGACACCAGGCAAGGAAATAGAAGCGCCTTATTCACTTTACTGTTCTACTCACCAGGGATTTCTTTCACGTAACGATGTTACTCATGGTTTCATATCATTTACAGAGAGCTTCCCTCAGTTAGAAAGATCAATCTGCTCTCTCTTTACGCTGTGTTGAATGAAGTGTGGGATCAGTGAATGTGACAAATGTATATTTTGGACTCCATTGGTGGTGGATTATGTAAGGGCAGAGGCTGGAAAGCAGGTGCAGGAGGAGATGGCAGTGCCACTCAATGGCACCTCTGCAAACAGCTCTTGTAGAACTCTAGATTGTCCCCCACCTTCCAGACCCTGAGATTTTGGACTAAATAATGCTTCCTCTGTACTTGATTTAGGAAGTGTTTTCCCGCAATTATAAATTTGCTCCTCATAAGACAAACCTTCAATTTTTACTTGCAGAACAGAACTGCACAGTGCTATGAAAGCAAGAGTGAGGATACATAAATGAAAGTTCCAGCAGTAATATTACATGGCTTAACTGTTGTTTGATATATATCATGAACTACATGTTATAAGATCAAACTTCATAAAATCATTAGATCCAGGTGGAGTGCTGACAGGTACATCATGATGCTGTCTGTGGTATGATCTCATCTTTGCCTTTTCCAGTTGTGTGAAAATGTTCTGCCCTAACAGTGAGGAGACTCTTTCGTGTCTGTAAATATGTGGTGGGAGTTTTAAAGGTTGAATTTTGGTAGCCATAAACTGACATGAGGTTCCACTTCAGGTGTGGGGCAGCACCAGGTTCCCTTAGGCTTTTCTTTAGCTCTACCTGCCCTGGAAGCCAGGCAGGTTGGATTCGCTGAACTTCACAACCATGTTAAAATGGCATTGCCCGATTTGCTCTGAATGTAGGAAAATTCCCTCATTTTGTAAGTGAAAGGAACAACTTATTTAGGTATTTATTCTGAATTTTCTGTTGAATAGCAAATGATTCTAGTGACTTGTAAGTGGTGATACAGTGCACGTAAAATCTCTGTTTTCATTTGTTGCCTCTCTTGTTACTGATGGTTCATTCACCAAGAAGTGAAAATTAGGTATAATATTCAAACTATTATAGAAAAAGAGGAAATAACACTACCTACTAAAGTAAGTTTTGGGGTTATGAAAGAGTAGAACCAATAAAGAAAAATGAATAAGTATTTAGTTTTAAATAGAGTTTTTACAGTGAAATATAAGCTTACTTTTGATTTTTATGATTGCAAAGAGGTGTCTGAGCAAATTTGCTTTTATGGGAACAACAAATATATTCCTGGTATGGTAGTGAGATTAATTAGCTTGTTATTAGGAAAGAGAATCACACTTATTCTTTTTTTAACAAGTAAACGTTGGAAGCAAAAACATAGCAAGAGTACCCTGTTGCTCTGGGTGTCTGTTGATAGAACACTTCCTCTCCTATGATATGTGTGGAAACAGACTTAAATCTTGATATGAAAAGCACAAAGAAATGAATAATACAGATAAAAAGGCTTTACTAGTTTTCCATGAGTACTTAAGGAAGTTTTCCATAGAATAGAGCTGTAAGGTCTGCGTAGCTACTGTGGAGAAGACCCCACAAGCTGGTTTTAGATTATTTATTTGCTTTGATACTGTGTGTTAAAAACATGAAATAACTTATGAAGTTGTTATGATGTTTATAAAAATAATGATGTTTTACAAAGAGGGCACTTGCACAGCTTTCACGTATTCAAAATATTATCTACCATTTATGTGGATAGAAATTACTCGAGGGTTTGCCCTCCTTTGTCACTAATAATTTCCAGATGGATTTCCACCAGGGTGATAAGTGGACCTGCACTTCTCACCTACACCTAAATGTTTGCTAGGCTCTTTTAGCTGAAACGAATCTAACTTAGATCAAAATGTTCTGCTCAGTGCCCGTGTTTTTTTTTCAACAGAGAGCAGAATGAAAAGCTGGTCATAATGACTGTGTGTGGGCAACTGTAACATCCAACCACTGCAGGGTGTTCAGCATCACTTCTTACTGACAGTCTGGGACTGCAGCAGTTTGGCACCGTTGCTTTAGTGAAGGTTTTAATAGGTGCTACAAGCTGTGCAGACCAAATATTGTGCTTGTCTTTTGAAGTATTAGTGATTCAAGCTTCGTTTTATTCAAAAACTCTTAAAACAAGTAGTCTATAATCTATTTGTCAGACACTCAAATGCGTGTAAGAGACTGAAAAGCTAAGACAGACTTACTAGAGAGGCAACTTTCTTAGTCATTCAGCTATTAAAAAAACAAAAGCCTCCTTGAGGTTTTGTACTTTATTTTTTTTTTTTTTTCAGAGAAATAAGTGGAGTTTGAAATACTGTAATTTTCTCTATTTCTGAGTATAATCCACAATAGTTTTAATTCCTGTTGTGGAAGGCAAGGTGCCAGGCACAATCACACAATTTAGCACACTTGTAAAAATAAAAAAATTGTAACTCCCCCCAAAACAACCCTTCCTAAAGCACCCTCTGCCTTCAGCCTCTCACATCCTCTTCCAGAAGGATATAATGGGCTGACTCCCTGGATTTCATTATTTAACTTGCCTCCCAACCAGAACCGAGATTCCATGTATGTAAGATGTTGCTTGTTCCCACTGATGAACACAAGGTACCTGTTCTGGTTAGACCTTAACACCAGCTTTAGATGTCAGGAACCAGGAGGTAACACTGCTTTGGCTGTGGGAATGTGTCTGGTGAGGCCTGGAGTGCATAAGGAATATTTCTTCCCAAAGGTAGCTGCAGCTGTTGTCCTCTCCTAAAGATATTCCCATATGAAATCCTTCCCGGTTTTGTTTTGTCATCCCTGTGATTTATCAGAGTTATTAAGGGAGATACTTTGGGCTGTGCTGTTATTTCTGTGCTCAGAACTGAAATGTCAGCTGGAACTGAGATTGGAGAAGCTGAAGAAATGGTTTTATCTCCAGCACCACGTGCAGCTCCACCCTCATTTCACTTCTGCCCCGTAAAGGCAGGGCACTGGGAAGCCACTGAAACTTTTGGCTTTTCCAGTAGTTACAATAACCTTTGGCAAAGTGCTTTTGTCACTTCTCCCACCTACATTGGAGGGAAGCAGCTGTAACAGCAAAGCGTGGGATTATGACTCTCACTCGATTGCAATTCTCGGCACAAATTATGCACCAGCTCATCCCCAAACCATGGCATCTATGGCAGCAAAGTTGGGTTTAGAGGTGTGAGGTAGGACAGTTCCAGTCATCTATTTCTGTCTTATTTTTCCTGGGATTGTCCCCTGTGTTTTGAAGGGGAAGAGGAGCATGTCACTTGTTAGATGTGAATGTGATGATATTCGTTCAGAGTTGTGCAGAAGCAGGGCAGATTTGTAACTTCAGTTACCTGTACGATCATTTTGCACAACTGAATTCAATATATCTGTGAATATATCTGGACTCGTGCTCCTTTGAAGAGCAAACTTCCTTTAATTAAATAATCTTTTCCTACTATCTGAAGTTAGTGACATTTTATAATCATAAAATTGCTGCTTAATTTCAGTTTACGTAATTTTAATAGGTCAGAAAGGGTGATATTACAACATAACTATATTCAGTGAGAGAGTAACAGTAAGACAGTAGTTCTTGCCTAGGGTTTCTCATCAGTATTAGAAAAAGTATGAATTGTTCTCTCTGTTTTAGAGATGATGGGACCTGTGGCTCTATGAGGTTATCCAGCATGTCTGTGCAACCCTCTCTTCCCGTGTTCTATTGACTGACCATCCCAGTGTAATGACTCTCTCCAGCAATATATTAAAATACCATATGGAAATACAAAAGCCAAAAGAGTTAATGGATCTTAATGGAATAAAATTAGGATTTTTTTTAATATTATTTTGAAGCAGAAAAAAAGAAATGTGTTCCTGCAGAGTTCTGTGTTGTGTGTGCTGTTCAAACCATCCATTGGGTTTGAACACATTAAACATGAAGTTAACATATAATGTTAGTTTATTTTCTTATTATTGGCTGTTACCCTGGGATTTAAATATTTCTTATCTGTCTTGGTGTGAAATGGTTGTTGAAAAACAACAAAGACCAGCAGTGCCAGGAGCTGATTTTCCTTTCTGCACTAAATGTATGGCACTTGTCTGGTAAGAGTACAGAGGGTGTTGGTGTTCCATGGGATTGTAAGGAATTGAATGACATTAGGGACAGCAAATGTCAGGTGAGACTTCAGTAAATGCTGGTTATTGGTGTAATTATTTCTTTCTTTCTTACTTTTGATGCCCTTTTCTCATCTAAAAATGTTTTGGAAATGTTGAATATAATTAAAAAGATAAGACCTTCCTAGCAATAATGAAAATATTGTTGTAATATTAATGTTATTATTTTTTATATAATATATTTTAGCTTTGCGTGTTGGGGATAATTTTGATTTTGCCTTTCCTGTTCATACAGTGGATTTGCTGCACTGCCAGCAAAATATCTGCTTTGAGGATGACCAGTTCCTCTTGACTTTGAAACAATCCTTGATAATACCAATAAATCTCTTGTAATCAATGACCAGCCACTGTCCATGAAGTGAAATGCATGTCTGTTCCTTGCTGCTTTGGGGTTTCTCTTGGCAGGATTTTATAGACATGTTGCTGGATTTGTACTGGCTTCTGGCTCTTCCTAGAGCCCAGATTAAGGCTTTTCTCTTGGTTTCTCCTAATGCAGAGCATATAAAATGTGAATTTTCTTAATGTGATACGTAGAGGGCTGAGTACAATTCAAATGCTAATATACAGAAACTAAGTCTCACAAAGGAGTGTGTTAACATTTGTCTTAATTCACTGTATTTCTAAGGATATGTCCCAAATCTTGCTTGGCATATCACACACTACATTGTACAAATTCA